CGCAGTGGACTACAAAGTTGGTCGGCATATCTTTGAAAAGTGTATTAAGGGTTTTCTTGGCGAGAAGACCCGCCTGTTAACTTCTCATCAAGAACGATACATGAAAGATGCAGACCAAGTGATTGTACTGCACAAGGGTTGCGTTCTGGGGAAGGGAACCTTCGCTGAGCTTCAAGGAAGAGGCATCTTAAATACCACCATCGACCCACTTTACAAGAATGCTTCGATAGAGAACAAGTCTAATGACATGGGCACCGCAAGGAATGATGAAGAGAGATGCAGAGATTTGGAGCCACTCACAAATAAAGAAAATGAACTGGAAATATCTGTTGAAGATCGGGCAATTGGAAGGGTGTCAAGTAAGCTGTATTGGGACTACTTCAGTAGTGGTATTCACTCATTGCTCATCATTGGAATGATTTTCTTGTGTCTTATTTCTCAAGGTGAGCTCCAAAGAATTATAAAAGTGGCAAAAACTTAGCCATTGTTTGGTGCTGTCGAGCAACATTCTCTCTCGGGGCGAACGAGCAAGCAGGCAACCAACTGAGTTTGTTTTTGTCTTGGAGGAGGAAGAGGAAACTGGGACTGACAAAAAAGGCGTGCAAAGGGTGACGGGAAATTAATGTTAAGACTAACAACCAATCTGACATTTAGGAGAGAGGTTGATGCCTTTTAATCCTGAGTTTAAAATTGTTTATTTTACCTGATTTAGACTGTTACGTAGATTATGAAGACAATTATCTCACTTTCGCATATTTTTATCATTCACTATATTTTTTCGCCTTTTTGTAGCATCGATGGTTGCCCCTGACGTGTGGCTGTCCTTTTTGACCAGGAAACTTCCATCAGAACAGAAAGACAAGACAAATCTAACTATCTATGGTGGTTTAGTCGCTGCTTCCTTCATATTAGGCATCATCAGGGCCTACATGTTCTTTTCGGTTTGTCTAAGAAGCTCTGAGCGGCTTCATGACAAAATGGTTATGGCTCTTTTAAAAGCGCCGGTTCTT